TTAACATCAATTTTAGTTGAATTTAAGTCCAATTCCTCATAAATACAGGAAGTCTTGGCTGAAAACAAGTTTGCACAATCTAAACGGTTCAAATAGCCATGATATTATTTATTGAATTCAAAAAAATTTGAATGATGATAAAATCTTTAAAAAGTCGTCTCGTCATAGAAAAGTTTGAAATTTTAATTACTTTCACTGTGAAATTAAATCAAAATATATTTTTCACGGATACATCAGTATACGCCTCAAAACCATAAAATAAATGACTTTTATTTTACATTTTCAAAAACCTTACTTCCATTCTGCCATAAGTATTCAGCTGATGAAAGTCAATATGTATCAAGGTATTTTTAAAATGTGATAAGGGTCAGAACCACAGTAAGCGGCTCATTGTTTATCTTGTTATACTTTTTGTTGCTAATTGTAATGTTTGAGGTCATCAGCATAGCATGTCTTTCTTGTAAATGCAAAATTCTTGTCTAGTCAAAATTTTGCCTTCTAGCAGTATATTCTGCTGCTATGTTATGTTTGTTGTTGACATTATATGCTGTTTTTCTGTTGTCTAATGCTGTTGTTTTTTTTTTTTTTTTTCATTAAACATTGTTACTGCACGGAGGAAGGTAGTCTAGTACTGGTGTAACTCTCCAGAAACGATGGATGGTTAGGAAACTACCCGCCTATATGACGTAAAAGGCGTAAAATGAAACAACCACAAACAAAAAACATTGTTACTATTTAAATCAAGACATTAAATCTTGGAATGTCCTCATTTTGATACTGATCAATACAATTATAACATCTTGTCAAAACTTGACAACTAACAGGGAACACATGTATTGATATGGTATTAACCTTTAAAATAAAGTTTTTGAAATACTTTACAATGATGATTCTTGTAATCTTTATTGTGTATTGTTGAACTTTGATAATATCGGAGAAATTACTGAAACCAACTATATTTTACTGACAATTTTTTTTAATGAATTTCTCACAACAAATTTGATCTTTGTGTAATATCACATTTTAATTATTATTGATTTTTACAAAACTTGTACAAACTATTTTTACTTTTCAATCAGCTGCATATTTTGTTTACATGTCTATAAATCAGTATTTCAATATGCCAAGATCTTTGTGTATTATATTTATTACTTTTCATTAGCTGCATATTTTTTTTACACGTCTATTAACAGAATTACAACCGTGCCAACCTTTTGGTATCATATTTGTTACTTTAGCTGCATATTTTGTTAACACGTCTATATAAACAGTATTACAACTGTGCCAACCTTTTTTGTATTACTTTTTGTTACTTTTCATTAGCTGCATATTTTGTTGACAATTACAACAGTGCTCAACCTTTTGTGTATTATATTTGTTACTTTCATTAGCTGCATATTTTGGTCCACACGTCTATAAACAATATTACAACCGTGCCAAGGTTTTGGTTAATTATATTAATTTTTTTTTTCATCAGCCTGCATAATATTTTGTTTACACATCTATGAACAGTATTACAACTGTGGCCAAGGTTTTGTTTTATTATATTGTTACTTTTCACGAGCTCTGCATAACATTTTTTCTTCAGCACTACCAATACCAAAGTGTAATACATGGTTGTAATGAACAACTTTATATATAATTGATGTAGATGCTATATCATTTGAAATGAAAGTAATTTGGTAGATAGAAATTGTAAATGAATTACAGTAAATGTATAATACTTTTTTCTATGAATTATGTAGAAAGTTAAAAAGACATTTGGGATTCATACTGTTGATTCACTGAAATCTTAAACATTATACACATATATTTCTTGGGTTCCAAAGATCTCTGTAAAGTTTACCAGTGTCTAGCATAAGTTTCATTTTTCCTTAATAGTGACTGTAAGGTATCTAATTTATAAAACTGCGATTTTAATTATTTGTTCGTACATTATAAACAGCTTTCCATTACATGTTGCTTATTTTAGTGTACCAAAGTAAATATTTACTACATAGGACTTTTTGAATAATAATATTCTGTATTCTGAATAAAAAACAGTAAGTCAAAAATGAAATTCTGTGGATTTACAAATATAGTACAGTTTTACTTGTATTTTTATATTGTACCTCTTTCTAAAGTTATTTCATAAGTAAAGGTCTTCTTGTTGACATCAGGCGTCCACAGAATGTATTGAAATCTGTATATAATGATATACCTACCATAAGTGAGATTACTAAATAAGTTACATTGTTGTTAAAGCAAATATACATTTGTGTATGTTTTCTTGCATGATCATTACGGACTTGGGTGCCAAATCTGTCTGTTCCAGGAAACAGAATGAGTTAAAAACATCACTTGAATATTACGCAAGTACAAGAAACATCCGCCTGTAGACAACGTGCTCTCTAACACTTCAGCCAACATAAAATGACAGTAATGAAAAATAATCTACCTCCGGAATTCAGAAATCTACCCATTGAATGGAAGTATCTGGGCTTGCCCCATTTGAACCACCATATTAATGTCAAGCTGCCCATATGGGCCATGTGGCCCATATGGTGTACATGGGGCTGCCCAGATGGTCCCATTTGAATCCCATATTGAGTATAAGCTGCCCAAGAGGACCCATGGAACCCGTTGCTCATATATGGGGCCCATATGGCAGCCCAAATGGGACCCATATAGGTGCCAATATGGGCCCCACATGGGTCACCATATAAATGCTATCTGGGATATATCTTATAACTAGTATGTATTTGAATGTATAAACCGTGTGCTTTAGAATGACCATCATAAAAATGGAGGCGCATATTATAGACGAAAATGCATTACTATCTCAAAATAATTAACATGTAAACTTTTAATGTATTTCTTCAAAACATACTTCCACACGCAATCAACAATATTTGCTTTCATGTGTGAAGGTTATTTATTGATCAGTTGTTTGCATTGATTTTGCAAGATATATTTACAAGTTTGTTCCATCTTTTTCAAACAGCATGCAATATAACAATTTACAGACGCAAGATTTCATTTCTAATTTACTTCAAGATAACCTCAATATAGCATGCAGTTAGGGAATAATATATGCGTATATAAGAAAACAAATCTGTATATTATTTCAAAACCATCTACATTCATGTAATTTTTCAAACAGTTCATCCTTCCAGCGGCGAAGGTTGCATACCAAGGAAATTACACTTTTTGTTAATGATTGTAAATAATGGAGTGCAACAAGTATTAAATATTTGTTCATTTAATTTGAATCTTACCTTTACATACGTCGATGAATGTGAATGTCATAGGCAAAATGTATGTTATTCAAACGTGCGATAAAGTTAACGAATACAATCAGATTGCAAAGATTCTCGGCAAATAGTTTTTTATAACTGACCTCTTTACACCCAAAACAAATAATGTTATCTCGTACATGTATTAGTCTGACATAAATCAGTTATAAATTTGCATCCAAAATATATCAGTTTCTTACTTAATGCAAATAATCAACAAAGTTTGGCCAACCTGTGCTTCTTTCATATAACGTAACCAAATGTCACCACAACTCAAAGCAAGACATTCGGAAAAGGAAAATAATTAATGAGCTATTTGGAAGCAACTGGTAATTATATTTGCAATTTAATCTACAAAGTTGTGTACATATAGGTAATACGCAATTTAATTGTAACAGAATGTGAAATGATTGGATATCTGTTCAATAAGCTCAGCTATATCTGAAAGTTTGAAATACTTTCAGGATTTTGACAGTTGTTATGAGAGTTCTCGTTATTTTCTATTAAGTTATGATTTGTGAACCATTCATTTGGACATTTCCGCTAAACGTGAGTGCTGTAAGATAAACATATATACTTGTCATTATTTAACTCATGTCTAAAGATGCTTTGAGCTATTTGTTGGTGTTTTATTTTCAGAGAATCTCTTGTTGCATTAACAATGATGTTATCAAATTATATAATCTGTGATAATGGGAAGGGAACTGATCCTCATTGGTCACACTTGTTTGTCATGATATTGTAATGTCTAAAGTATGTTGACATTAACGGATATAGAATACGACAAAGAGACACACAAAACTTAATTGGGATTACATGGTCCCCTGTAACGAGCACATCTTTTTCCTATAAATGAGATCAGACACAAGGAATAAATCTGATTTAATGTGTGTTCAATTGCTGTGTTGGTGGTGGCTGATTCGCTGAATGGGATAGTATCATGAGATTCTTACGTTTGCCCTTGCATACATAATATAAATCTAATTCGGACTTTCCAATGCTTACACGATTACATATATTAACAAAATAATACAATAAACAATCCGGCTCGTTCAGCGTCGATCGATAGAACTTCAATAGCTAATGACTTATCACCCCTATGTCACGTAATCCGCAAAGAGCTTTAACCAACAACAGTCAACAAACCCCGAAATCACGACAATCATTAAGTGAAGATCGCCTTTTGAAAAACGAGGACGTTGTCATCAACGTACCTCTGATCATTTGCCATGGCACAATACTGGCGCAATAATGGCCAAATATTAACGAAAGTGTGATATAGTGGAAAATCCACTGTATTAATTTGTGTTACAGTGATAGCTCTATGTGACAAACATCCGATCCCCAAATATGGTAAAAAATGCTTCGATATTTCATCTATTTTAAGTGGTTGAAGAGCGAATATAAACAGAAACCTCGAATGAATATTAGCAAGCAAAAAAAAAAACCATAAAAGATTGTACGAGCACGTGCTCAAGTTACGAGTACAAAACTAGGCTTATAAATGTTTCAAAAACTCTTAAATAAGAATACTTTAATTTCTTATTTTAATTTTGCAAACATATTTATACCATCATCCATGATCACTTCAGTTATAAATACCAAGAGAATTAATGCTGAAACATTAAACAGACATTATTTACAATGAGTGAGGAACTAACTGAAATTCTTACAACAGCTTGTTGTGTGTTATAACCTGTTACCTGTTAAAACATTGTTTTAGTTATAGTATGCATTGCATCACTGAACAAGTGATTTTTGCCAATGACGGATTTTAACGAACGAACTGGTTTATTAGGCCGGTTTTAACCGGACAAGAATATAAGTTTGTGTATGTTAGACTTTTATTTGGTGTATCTTGAAGACGCTTATTATATATTTTAAGCAGGAAGAATTATAGTAGATCTAGTTGTATGAAAATGATTAATGCTGGAATCTAAATGTGCTACAAAACGTTCAGGAAACCTAAAAGGTATTTGCTTTATTTATGTCATGTTTGTCTACTTTATATATAGTATCAGATCATTTTTAGAAATTTTATTTATCATTATAACACATGACAACAATTGTCAATCATTACTTAAATAATTAGTTTATTTCATTTACAAGTCACAGTTAAAGTAGGAAATATTTTTCACTTTCAAGATGTTGGTAGGATCAAATCAATCATTTATAACTGTTGGAATGTTTCAAAGAGAACTTGCTTAGCAGAACAAATACTTCTAAATTCTTTTTAAGGGAAAAATAAACATATATAATTAAACATATATAATTTTTATTAGCCCCTTAAATATGGTAAAATGGGGTCTTATCGTCAGCTCAACTAATGAAAAAACACACACAAAAAAACCGTTCATAAGTTCAGAAACGTTTTCACGTTACCAGGGTGTATTCATCTTTTTAGAGTATAAACATGAAACACAGAATTGCAATAAACTGCAGAAGCGCAAATAATTTGTAAAAGCTATCGTTTTGTATGCCTCATTCCATAGATAGAATTAGTTAAATTTATTGGAAGTGTAGAGTAAGGTCATATTTCGAATTCTGAATAACGAGTAAGTTTGATATTGCAGTACACTTTGTTGTTTTTGATTCCTATGACACAGTTAATGATTAACTCATTTTTACCACGCATTAAGTATTGTTCTTAAGTAATGTTTGATCGGTAATTATTCAAATAAAGCATGTATAAAATAAAAACGATTCCAGTTAATAGCAGAGTGGTTAATTTGGATACTTATTCTAGACGGTAAATGTCAAACTGACGTCATTTACAACAAAATGCCAAATGATTTTCTTGTCAATAGTGAACCTTCAATGTGACACGTTTGTTGCATTCCATAAGCCCCCAATCAAAAGAATTGGTGTGCCCTAAACGAGAAAACAATAGACAGAACTAGATAATATGGAATTTTGAGAGGGGCTGTTGGGTTAGGAAACCTGGATATCACAAACAATACGTCAAAAGACAAATTAAATGAGTAGGCGACATATCCTAAAGGGTGATTTTACATTATTTCAAGTGAGACTCATGGAACTACCCGAGTTACTCATTGCAAATAGAAGAAACAAAAAATATCACATAACATATACACACACAATACAATGATGGCGTGCTGAATGATTTTCAATGATGTTATATCTGAATGTATGAGCGATAAATATTTGAATAATAAATTCGTAATGAAATATGAAAATATTTACTTTTTGTGTGTCCGTATACGATATCATATCGGCCATAGTGGGCCTTGCCTATTGCATTATGGTTATTTTGTTCTGGGGCACTTAACAGTTTAGGCTTTTGTAATTGGGGTTTTAATAATAATACACAATATGAAGTCTCTAATAAACATAATTTATCAGTCAAAGCTTTCTAATTCAGCCACTGCATTAACGGCATGTTTAGTTTGTAGAATATAATTTTAATAGAATTTGGCACACTGTCATTCCTATTAGTGTAAGCTTGATTAAAGGTAAAAATAAATATGCATTAACTTTTAAGCTAAACAAGAATTAATTATTTCCAGAAGATGTAAATGTTGCTCCATGATTTAACTTTAGATAACAGTGAATCTTAAAGACTACTTTGCTGTCTACGTCAATTGATTGTTTTGATAATTTTCATGTTATTACACCATGTCTTAATATAAATGCTTTGAATTTGATTAGAAACTGCTGCATATTAAAAATGCTGTTAGTTTGAAACTTTCTTTATTGTATTCTTTGACATTAGAATGAATGAATTTTATTATGTTATATATGCGTTTTGGCCTAGCAATTCATGTGTTATGATGTTCACAGTTTTGTTTTTTTTATTTTGTTTTGTTGTTGTTGTTGATGTTGTTTTATTAATTTTTTTTATTGGGGGGATGTGGTTAAGATATATCAGGCTAAAATCTTATATTTAAAAAATGATAAACAGTCTCTTTTAAGATGTAAAATCATCAACGGTAAAACAAGTGAGCCGCGTCATGACAAAAACAACATAATGGGTTTGCGACCAGCATGGATCAAGACCAGATTGTGCTGCCGCGCCGTCTGATCAGGATCCATGTTGTTCGCTTACAAACCCTATAACAAGTAGAGAAACTGATAGCGAATAGCATGGATCCTGATGAGACTGCGCAAATGCGCAGGCTGGTCTGGATCCATGCTGGTCGCAAACGCACTATGTTGGTGATGTCGTGACGCGGCTTAAATCTTCTTTCAATTTACGTAAAATCTGATGATATGATTGCGTTAAATGTAAGTTGTTTGAAAGTCTTACATTATTGACGGTGAATAATTTTGACTTGAATAAGATTTCACCTTTCATACAATAATAATATAATAGCAATTACTGTGATATTTGTTGACATTTGTAAGTTTAGTCTTATCTCACATTGTCCTGATGTCTTCTTGTTGTCTTTTAAATGAAAAAAAGAAAATGATTTTCGTTCATTATTATAGGATATATAACAAAGTGTTAATTTGAACAACTAGTATAACAGATAAAATTATTTTCTTTGACGCATATTGCGAATGTGTTTCACTTTAAATAAATTTTAAAATGTCATTTGAATTCTTCTTAAAGTTCAAAAATGATATTAAATTTTCCATTTTCCTTTACCGGTGATTTCCATTTAAATTAAAAAATTGTCATGTTGAAATTAAAATAAAATTGCGTTTCTGACTGGTTTTGTTTTAAAAAGTACTGTTTTAGAAAGAGGTGTCATATTAAAAACAATAATGCATTATTATTTCAAATTAATATTATTCGAAGATTATAATGTATTTTGCCACACTCTCACAAGAAAACGGCAACGCAACGGTGAAGGTTGCTTGTCATAGTGGGAAATAATCTATATAAAACAAAGTATACAAGCAAAATAGAATAGATCTTATAACCAATTTAACGATTTAACGGGTTATCCGGATGTCAATGCTGTAATATTAAGTATTAAATATAATACCATTCTATTTTATATGCATTTACACTAGTCTTGGAAATACAATTTGATTTTAAAGGTGTTAAATGTTTAATTTCAAATATGATTGTATACTTTTTAGCTACATAAACCGTTTGTTTCAACGATCGATCGATCGAATGATTAATTAATTAATTAATTGATTAATTGATTGATCGATTGATTGATTGATCGATCGATCGATTGATTTCATAAGTTGATTAAGTTATACTTTATGCTTTTTTGTTGTTCTTTTTTCGTTTTGGTAATTGCTAACAAATATTAGTGCAGGCAATTTACCATCTTTATTTACATTTCAATGTATATTGTCTAACCAAAAAAGAGTATGAATTTGTGACGTAAATTTAGGCTTATTAAATGAACTTTATTTATTAGACCACTTTACCTTCTTTTTGTATATTAGCATAAATATCTGTATTAAAGTTACTTTGATAATTACCATAAAAAGGATACAATTCAAACATAAAAATAACAATATACATGAATAATATGAAATATTAAAAGAGATAAAATGCTTTTACAAGTAACAGACATAAACAAAAACTGAATTTTACAAAGACTTAGAAATTATCCGATATTCTTAAAAGATGAAATTTTCATTTCTATTCCTGCTGAAGATTGAAAATTGTACTTTACATCATAGAACATCCATGACTGTTTGTAATCAAAATAATATATAACTGTCTGGATCTGCCTACATTAGTCTGAAGAAAGATTGTTTTACTGGATTAGTTTGTATTGATGTTGTTGTTTTTTTTGTTGCTTTTTTTTTTTTTTTGATGTTTGTTTAATTACAGTTAGTGGGTATTTTTCACCGAAAAAACTTCAGTTACAAGAATAATAACCGAAAAGAATGTGAAAAATTAACAAAGAGTAGTGCTATAACATGTACCAGATATAATCACGAGCTAGATTTTACAAAGAGTGAGGATTAACTGATATTCGGAGCACTTCTTATTGTGTTTTCATTTCAAAAGTTATTTCTTAGTTACACTTTAAACATAAAACATACCCAGGATTTATCAGGAACTGACTGGATCTATTTACAAAACTTGAAAGGAAGACGATTTAACTGAATAAGATATTCTGTGTGAAATAAACTTAGTAAACACAGGGTGCTTTTTTCAATGGATGCAAACTATTTGTTGTACAATAATTCAAATATGTAAATTACATGCATATGTCAGCACTGAAAGGGAATAAGTTTACAGAGGACCTTACACGTACCGTTCGATATTTACTTTTTATTGTTTTCTTCCCTTTATTCTTTAACCATAATGATTAATGTATTGTTTTGCATTGTTCAAAATTTATTTCATTTGTTTAGTTTTCTCATTATAATGCTATAAATATAATCCATAATTTTCTCTGTCTATCTCGTTCGTCCTTAAATAGATAATTCATTTGTTTTAAAAATCAGTAAATTTTTACTTCAAACACATTTTCCACTTGTCAAAAGAATTCATTTCAACAGATTCTTTTATGCGGGTATTTCAACAGATTCTTTCATGCGGGAATTCGATTTGATCGATAAAATTCCACAATATATATCAAACATTCTCGTACGTGTGTTTTCTAAATTGATTTAAATAAAACGTATTATTAGAAGTACAGACAGAAGCTAATCTTAAAACCATTTGAATATGTGTTTTAGAGATCAACAAATATACCAACATAATACTCAAATACTATACAATTATTGACTAGTGCGCCATTAAATATATAGAGGATATTGAATGAGTGTAAGTTCAATACTGAATTTATTGCAGGAGTTGAATAAAATTATATTATGCGAGCCTCTGGCGAGCATAATATTATTTTATTCAACGAGTGCAATAAATTCAGTAATGAACTTACACGAATTTAATATTCTATTTATCACATACCCTAAATAAAGTCCGTTTAAAGTGAAATAAGAGTCATTTTTCATTGACACGCCTATAGTATAACGCTAACATTTAGTCTTTACACTATGTTTGTATAACGCTAATGACGTCACGTCAAA